ACCATCTTGAGTTGCAACGGGTACATTGGAAGGTGGTGGTCGCTTCTGGTTAGGGATTGCATGGTAGCCCGGAGGGAAGTCTGGGTGTGTGTAGACATCATTGGTGGCCTGGTGGTGATAGTGTCCATGGACTGGAGATTGATGAGGAGTCTGGTAACTTCATACTGGGGCACAGCATACCCGTTACAGGAGCATACATTGGCACCCACTTCCAGGAGGATGTGGTTGTCTGGAGGTAGGAGGGTTGAGGGGGTGCAGTGGCTTCAGATGGTCTTTGCATATTAACTGAACAAGGCCATCATCTGCTGAAATCTTGCTTCACTGGCTTCTGATCCTTTTGGTGCTTTGCCTCCAGCTGTTGCAGTTGTTCTTGTGTTTCTTCTCATTCTTTCCATGGCGTCTAATGTGGACTGGGTCTGTTGCTGCATGGCGAAAGTGGACTGTGGTCTGTGTTCCATGCTTCTTTGGGCTGCTATTTTTGGACTGTGCATCACTAGTAACATCACTGGTTGCCAAGTGGTGGCTGTAGCTGGACAGAGAATTGTCACCGGTGCTGATTGTGCTCCCAAGGTCTGACTTTGTCTGCCCAAGTAGTGATGATTGCCTCCACTGAAGCAATAGAGGCATCATATTGATACAGTGTTGAAAGTGACTGCTGTATGGTACTGATCCAAGAGTCATCCTCTTGGAGTTCGTGGTTGTCGTTGAATGACAGAGTTCCTCATCTTTTCAGGGCATAGTCTTGGTGGAAGATGGTGGCATCTGAAGATATCTGTGAGTTTTCCACCACGTGTCTCTTGCACTCTTTGGCAGATGCATAGTAATTTCCTGCAGTGGCATAGGATTTGTGGCGTTCCAGATCCAACAGCAGGGGCTTGCCATTGGCAGTGAAAATCTTCTCTAAGAGCAAAAAGACGAATTTCATCCTCAAAGTTTGGATTCAGATCTTGAAGGGAACACTTGTGGTGGCATTGATGACATCCATATGTTGGATAACTGCCTTCTTCATAAGGTCATGGTGCTTCCTTTGTCTGCTGATCTTGTTCAATTTTGGACTGAGTAGATCCAACTGAGGGTGTTGCAGAGTGGGATCCTTGGCAATGGCTTTCATAAGGTTCTCAAAGGCTGGACGGTCGGTGATTCCCACCTGGATACCAAGGATGTCGAACTTCTCAGTATCGACCTTGACTTTGGTTGGAACAATGGCAATGGGAAGGTGATGGAAGGCCTCTGCTGATGTAGCCAACTGGATACCCTGGGTAACAGGCCATCGCGGAAGTCTTCTTAGGATTCTTCCCGGCAATGTAGGCATACTGTGGCAGTTTGGGATTCCTCTAGGCTGTGGTGGCGGAGGAAGAGATTGTGTTTCTTTGAGAAAGGGAACCACTCCTTGAATCTTCTTGAGTGCAGGGACGCTGTCGTAATCAGGGCTGTGCACATAGAAGGAACAGGCAAATCGACGAATATAATCATTGATGGGACCCCAGTCCATCACCGAGGCATTCAGCCACTTGACAAGCTGATCGCGGGTCATGTTTCCTAGGGAATCCAAGTCAATGCCATTGCCCTCAAAGTCGCCTATCCCTTCATGGTCTTTGAAGGTGATTGTGTACCTTTCATCAGAACACAATAGTGTCAACAACTGCATGACTAGGGGAATAGGCATTGCTGAGGTTGCTGGATTCATTGCCTCAATGCGAACCCCAAAGTAGTGTGTTTTGTGGCTCCTTGCACCATCGTTGGCATCCTCAAAGCTTTCCTCATCGTCATCCCTCATAGGATCTCCATTGTCGCCATCCTGATTGCCATTGGTGTTGGATTCATTTGCGCTCTCATCCGCATCAAGAGCCATGGGATTGGCAGCACCAAGTGAAGCAGTGGCGGCATCTTGCTTGGACTCTTGAATGGTCATGGTGATAATGCCTGGGATCGAGGGAACATCAGTATCAGGAGCTGGTTCCAGTAGACCCAAGGACTTAGCCCTGCAGTGAATCTCTCTAGGCAATGGACAGTGAGTTCTCTGTAGCTCGAGAAGGGAGTTCCTAACACAGACAGAGGCAGTGGCATTGGCTGGGTCGGTGGGAACAAGGAATGCTAGGTCTGTTTCCAGATAAGTGAGTGTCTTTGCTGGATCAGCCTTCCACTTGCAGAGGAAGCACAATGGGTCTTGTGGTCTAGAGATCGATAACTGTTGACAGAAGCAGCGCTGAGAGCTATGACTGAATGATCTCGGATCTGGTTGATCTGCTGGCTGAGTAGCGTTTGACTGCTGGGTGGTGGCAGGGCTCTGGGGTGGTGCAGAGGTAGATTTGGTAGTTGTTGCCTCCAATATGTTTTCCTTTTCCTGTTGTAGTGGTGTCTCAGCTGAAGTTTCTTCGTCCGTTACCATTTCCCGTGCCTTAGCATCAGCTCGAAGATGCTTGATGGCTTCCTCGATCTCTTTGTCGGTAGGTTCCATGTTACTATTGGTGGGAATTGGAGCTGATAGCTGTGGTGATAGCAGCATAGTCAATGGTGAGGCTGGGCGTGTTTCCTTTGCGAGTGGACCATGCAAGGGAATAAAGTGATTGCAGAGAGGACAGTAATGGCTTGGGTAGTCACTGCTCTTAATATCAAGGAGATCGGCAGATAACTCGCTCAAAGATGACTCTCGTGGGGCCACCGGTATCGTGCACTTGAAACATACAACCGGCATCGTGATCTCTTCTCGTGTGAAATCATCATGAGTTTGCTCTATAGTTTGTACATCTCCCACTCTACCATTTGGAATGGGAACTGTCAACACCTCAGTAAGTGCTGGTTCTGGAAAGGCGACGATGTCGTTTGGATCATGTAGCATGTCAGAGTCCGCCGCGTTTCTAGATGATCCTTTACGTGTCGTGTCCTTGCCATTGAGAATAGCTCCACCGCTAGTTTCCTTGTTTGCTGTGCGAAGGTTGTTTGCAATAGCTTCCTTTTTGGAGAATCGCTTTGTCTTCTTTGTCTGCGGAACGTGTGGTGATGGATCAGTTGTCATGGCATGTGTACGTCGATCGGTAAGGTATTTTTCAATGGATTGCTTGAGACGAAACTTGGATTTCTTTGTGGAGCTGGTGTTGACAGGGACGGCTGTGGTTGACTTGCGTTGACAGGGCATTGGACTGACATGATAGTCAGAGAGAGTGAACTGTGCATTCGAAGCACTACCACTGGCAATGTCTCGGAACTGAGGCCATCGAGGATTTGTGGTCGTATCGTTGTTGCTGTGTCGAGCTGTAAACTTGGATTGCGCGGATGACAATTGTGGCCATGCAATTTCATCATGACGATTAACAATTGGGGGTGTTGGAGTCATAGATGCTGTAGCTACGCGCTGTTGGGTTGTTTTCCTTTACTAGATTTGTTGGGTTTCTTGTGCGTTTTGGGCTTGTTGCGCGAAGCTTCCCATGCTACAGGAGTATTGACGTGATGAGTTAGGATTGGCGGTATTGGCAGAGGTTGGATTGTTGCTTTTGATGATGTCGATCGTTGGTCTTTTCGTGATTGTTGCTGCTTGATTGGATGTCGCTTTTTGGTGCTGTTAGCTCGAACTGGTGTGGGTCGTGAAGTGGAATCCTCAGTTGTTGATGCGGTTCCTGTCGTTCCCATGGTTGACGTTGAGAGTGCATCGTCATCAACTAGATGATCGTTGAATTGCCGAAGCCAATGATCCTGGTCCGCAAGGACGGAGAAGCGGTTTTTGTTACTAGCGTTGCCGACTGGGAGATCATTCTGCAGCGTTGTACGGGTTGCCATATCCTTCGAGCTGACTTTTCGGCTCTTGGAAATGCTGATAAAGCCGTCAGATGCTTCATGGTCGCAGGCATCCGTAGATGACTTTCGTAGAAATTTGCTATCATTTTGAAGAGATAATGATGATCTGAGATCCGTTGTGCACACAGCTAGCGGTGGTCTGGCTATCGCATACTCGGAGCGTGATGATTCCATGGCTTGCTTGGTTGTACAAGCTTGTTGACGGCGGCGAAATGGACCAAATGGCGCCATGGTGGTCCTTTTCCTGTCCTTTGTTTTTAAAAACGGCCAATTTACTATAGGAGAAACAGTACAAAAGCTCAGGGTGAGTGTGCGTCCGAAAAGGGTGTTTCCAGCTCGCTTGGATCTGGAATTGTCCTGCTGCAATTTCTTCATCGATGTGATCTTCGGTCTTCATCAACCAGTGAGATGCTGTACTTGGTGACAACAGCATGGATAATGGTGATGCTGGGCGTGTGTCGAATGAATTACCTGCAGCTGCTGCAATAGTGAGTAGAATCAGGCCTGCTAGTTGTCATGCCAAGGAAAGCAGCCGTTGATTCATTCAGAGAAAACACTCTCGGAGCCACTGCTTCATTACAGGTTTGACATACAATTGGAACAGCCGAGACACCTCGGTTCTCCTTGGTGTAGGTGCTGTCGTGGCCAAGTGCAGCGGCATGACTCCAGTCCTTTCCAGTATCATCTTGTTTTGATGGGGATATCAAATCTATCGGCACGAGGAGAGTTCCATCATAGAGAGTTTTTCCCTTTCCTCCAGTTGTACTGGTTTCCTTTCTAGTCGCTGGGGCAGCCATATCGTGAAGTCGTCGAGAGAATGAGAATATCAAATCATCCGACGTCGTCACTTTGCCGGTCGGATCATTGCCGTTTCCGGAGGCAGTGCTGGTTATTCGCAAGTTGCTGCCATTTGTGGTGGAGACAGGACGATCGTTTGCTTTGAGTTGATGCTTGGAGTCATCGGATGCAAGACCTGCAATGCTAGATGATATAAGTACCTCCTCCTTCTGCCTTGATACATGTTGAATCCTTATTGTTGTCTAGTGGAGCGTTCGCATCACTGACAGCGGTCCCGGTCGATGGCTTTGTCAATAGATGTACCACTGGTACATTCAATGCTATCACTACGAGTCGTCTCGAGCTGTTGCAGAGTTTCAGTCGAGCGAAATTCAGAGACATCGGTCCATGGCAGAACAACTGGTGTATTGTCAATTGTCCGAAGTTTGAATTTGCATTACGTCATCGCGGGGTTCCACATTTGTTCTCTTGATGGTTGCTTTGAGACTGCTTCCGGTGGTTTTCATGATTTCATGTGCAGCTTCTTTCATAAAATCCGTAGTGGTTTCAATTGCACTGTAGACTGTAGCGGCAAGCGCATCAGCAATGGAGAATTTCAAGACATATTTCTTCTTTTTGTGCTTGGAGAGTTGCGGCTGCTGCAAGAGTTGTTCTTTCTTTGTCTTCCCAATGATTGCCAGTCTGTAGTTCATTGGTTTGCTGGTGGTTTTGTTGCTGTCGAGGCATGGCGACTGGTGTAGCTTCGTCGAGTTTGTGGTATCGTCGCGAGGCTGGTAGCCGGATGCTGAGATTGCCAGGAATCAGTATTTGCATCTTTCGTATTGGCTCTTTTCGTGTTAGAGCTAAATGGTTCGTCAAAGATTTCATGCTTCATTTCCTCCGAAACTCTGTTATCCACCTCCAATTCAGGTACAACCGAATTTTGTTCGTGCAAGGCTGGTTAACTAGTGGCTGGGACTCCAGCCGGTTTGTTACTCCCAAGTTTGTGTTCATTGGTCGCAACACTGCTTGTATCAAGTGCCATCTTCTTTTGCCGAACGTTGCCTTGATCACCATGGGATACCGCGTTGAACGGCCGACTTCAAGGGATACTTCGTCTTTTTCTTGGTGTGATGATGCGAGACAGCAACATCGAACCCAGTTTCTTTTTGGGCTGCATGAGTGCCAGTTACAGTTCGTCCCGCTGAGTGATGGTATGATGGTTTTCTAGGGGTAATAGCTGAGAGCTTGAGCAGGCCATTGGAGATTGTTATCTGACATGATGGTAAATTCTGCGTTGGGCCTGGTGGGTTTGCTACTAGTTTTGCCTTCTTCCGGTTCGAACGCTTCGATCATTTGCGATGATTGGAAGTGGTTTCCCATGCCACTGGGGTCACTGCGGTGTCAACAAGGACTGGCAGTAGTGGTAGTGGGTTTAGATCGATTGGTTTGATAGTGGATTTGCGTCGCGATTGTTGGTTGCGTCTTGATTAAGCTGTTTGTTTATTGTGCTTTCGATTGTTTCACGGAGGAGTAGCGGCAATGGAGTCATCATCGGTGGATTCATCGCCCTGTTGTGTTGTGTCGGTTGTTTCGAGGGTAGCATTGTCCTTGTTTTCTGCATCCATCTCATGCATTTGACTGGCGCAACTATAATAAGTCGTTGTTATCCATGAGCACCGAGAACCGGTTGTCGGTTTTTGCCAGAGTATAGACGCGGCTCTCCCTGACCAGGATTTTTGCAAGTTGCAGTGGTGTTGGTTTCTTGTTTGTAGGAATCGGACGAAAGCCTCCATGATCAGTCATCACGTTCTTGCTTTGATCTCGTGTGAGGAGCAATGACTTTTTCGTCAGGGTTGGTTCTTCAGCAATAATCACTCCCGATGAATTGATGACATGGGGAAGTAGTGCGCTCGATCCTTGTCCATCACCCATTTCGGCCTTGTTTGCATGCATTGTTGCGATGTCGCCGACATCCAGATGCGGTTTCCATCGAAAAGCTGCGAGAACTGCTAATAGGGGCCGCGTGAATTGACTCGTCGCCAACCAGGTTTTCGACAAGCGATCTCATTGGTTTCAAGAGTGAATTGTGTAGTACCAAAGATGGCGCTGTTGTAGCTGGTGGTCTGCTTTTGTTTCACGGCCACAGATCTCGAGTTAACTTTGGCGTTCGGCGTCGGAAAGGACCACAAGGCGCCATTGTGGCTGGCTCTTTTTGACTTGGATGGCTGTGAAAACGGCAAGTTTACTATAGGATAAAAAGTACTATTTGATTCATCAGAGTGCTTCCGAAAAAGTGTGGTTCTAGATTCCTGGATCTAGAATTGTCGAGTGAGAGAGAAGTGTGGGTATCTTCCAAGCACAAGAGCTGCTCTCGAACATCCAAAGTGAGTCATGAGGTTGTCCATGATGAGGAGGGACTTATTGACTCTGAGGTCGACCCAGTTGGTGCCTACTATCAAGCTCTGGAAAAAGCCAATCATGATGCTTGTGCTCTGCTTCGCAGCAAAGGATACAACCTAGCAGAAGCAAAGTTTAAGCTCTCCGTGCGATGAGATTATGCCATAGGAGACATATGGGTGCGGCCAGCTGTGCTGGCTCAGCCTGATGGAAACATTGCTCTGCATCTGTACACTCTTTCAGTACAAAGCAGTGTCACCATCAGAGAAGATAGAAACAGCTGTAGAGGACATAGAGTTCCACTGCAAGGAAGGATGATGCTTCCTCATCCATGACCTATCTAGACAGATGGCTTGATCTATACCAGCCAAAAGAGATGCATGAGATAGAGTTCCACTGCAAAGGAAAGGAAGGATGATGCTGTTCCTCATCCATGACCTATCTAGACAGATGGCTTAATCTATACCAGCCAAAAGAGATGCATGGCTGGATCTGTATCCCGCATGGCTGGATCCATGGAGTTTCACGCCAAATTTGTGTTTGTGTTTATGTTATAGATTAAAGAAGTAATGAAGAAGAGTTGACCTGAGAAACAGACCCAACAGCACAAGTAGAGCTCTGCAGTAGACCGGTTCCTGTATGGCCAGTGCCAGGGTATTGAGCAATTAGGCTGTTCAATCATTGCTTCCACAGTGATTGAATAGCATTGGCTGCCAGCCTTGGGCTGGCCCTTTCCAGCGCCAGTGGAAGGAGATCTCCACCAAATAGAGCTCTCCATCCCAGCTGCCTCTTGTGCATCTACACTGAGTTCTGAACAGGATTTCATAGCCATGCGTTGTGTCACTGCGTCTCAAACAGCATGCAGGTCGGCAAAAGGCCCGAACAGAGCCAAATACCATACTAAGAGAGCGACAAGACCTTAGAGAAAGTCTCGACAGCTGGGCAGTGGTTCAATATTACCAATGGTGGAGGTCCAATGAATAGCAATGATGCTCTGATCGCTTGGGCTCAGAAAGGTGTGAGAAAGAAGCCACCTAGCTTGAACAGGAGAGGCAATTGAGGTTGGAATTTGAAGAAAGAATCGAATAGGCTGCTCTGGTTGTTCTCGAGCAGCATCCTGAACAAGGCAACGGCTCGCCTTCACCCCACAATCAATGGAAAAGGTCGCAGACAAATGACATGCTTTGTGCTGTTATCCAGTAGAAACAAGGGCCACTTCCTTTGGAGCCCACCCAACAACGAAAAGGTTAAAACCAAGCAAACTGCACAATATTCTTTGAACTGTATGAAAGGAAATGTCAGTCAGTGGACGTTGAAGAAGGTGTGAATGGATGGGCTCCAAATAGACAAGAGTAACTTGATCGGTTGGAAGCAGGAGAGGTGGCAGACATGTTCAATGATACAGAGCTCAAGCGGGCTTTTTCAAGAGTGAGAGGAAGAGTTCCTCGCACGACAAGACTTTGCTCTTGCTTTGAAGTCAACTTGACGGAAGAGCATCCTTGCTCTCGTTCTGGGGCAAGTTTCTTCCGATGAACATGACTCTGTGTTCCTTGATTTATTATTGGATGATGCTGCAAGAGTCCATGCTTCAATGTTAAGTACTGGTGCCGATAGTATTACTAGTATCTAGTGGTGCTGTAGGCAGTTCACAACAATATAGATTTCTATAAGGATTTAAATTATAATATGACTCGTTTCCTATTTCTGCCTCATTCAATTGCGTCCGAGGACTACATTTTCAAAGATTCCAATGAACAGCCTTCCTTGATCTGTGTGTTCCTTTCGAGGGCACACCACCTGAAGGCTCCTCAATCCATTGGGATCTGTGACGCGGGCAAAATCTAGCAGCATGCCGCGGCCACTGCTGTTGTCGCTTTCGAGATGACGAATGGTGATTGTTGCTTTATCCATAGGGAGGAGCCCAATCTCGAAAGAAACTGGTTGGCCAACCATGATCCTATTGTTGCCAGCTGGTACTCCGCCGGGCGGCAAGAGATCGACCTTCAATCAATGCTGGTGGTATTCAGAGACATGGCCGCCCAAAATTGCACTTGAAAAGAACAGCTTCCTTGGATGTGCATTTCCGATTCATTGCGATAGACAATGTGCAGAGATCCTCGAGCCGTCGCCTTTGCCACCTGGTTCAATGCGGAATATGGTTTAGTACATCATTGTCAAGCAGGTTGTTGTAGTAATCGATTTCTAGTCAGCGGCTTGTACCAAGTTGGTTGGTTGGTTATTGATGTGCGAGCTCACGAATGTTCAGGAACGTCAACACGAATGCCTTGATACAATAGCAACTGGTGCTGCCTGACCGGTAGGAGCAGACTTTGCAATTCCCAGAACAATATTTTAAGAAAGAATTGGATTCGGCACCTCCACTAGCAGCGCCGGTGTTGTAAACATAGGGAATGTAACCATCTGCCAACGGGAAAGAAGATTCGGATACTCCGTTGCTCTTGTATCCTCAATCGGAGAGGCTGATTGTTTGGTTGGATTTGGAGCTCATTTTTGGAGCTTTCAATAAAGCAAAAAGCAAAGCAGTCAAGATGGTGTTCAAGCTAGCAATCCTTTCTTTCTCCCGGTCTGCCATGAGTATGCACATTGTTGACAATTCACAGGATGCATTCTTGCAGGAGATGGCCAGAGCACTTGATGGCGCAGGAGAGAATGTAACGATTGCCCTTCTCCGCGGTGGTCGTCCATTTTGCGAGACTTCCAACCCATGCTCAAGAGATGGTTCGTGAGCATCCAGGTTAGTACAGGATACTGCTTTGTGCTTTGTGCAATGCTGGTGACTCTTCTTGCTCACTTCTGCCTCTCTCTCAGGATCTACCCTTCAGGTGGAGGGTGGCACCTATCGCACCAATCTCCTCAGTGGAAAAGAGTTTGCATATTTGTTGTTGTGGCTGGTTTGCCTGGGTTGGTTGGTGCTGGCGTGGACAATCTTCCTTTGGTTGATCTGCCGGTTCCCAATGCTGTAGTTGCTCCCACCTTCGCTGTCGCTGCTGTCGCTGCTGTCGCTGCTGTCGCTGCTGTCGCCGCTTCCCTTCAAGTCGCCTCCGCTCCAGTCGCCGCCACTACCATGCCCCCTCCTGTCGCAGTTCCTCCTCATTGTTGCTGCCTTGGAGGAATAGACTTAGATGATGAAGAGTTTCAAGAGATCCGCGTTATGATCAACCCTCCTGGGCCGACGCAGTTGTCGTGGACGCAACAATCGAAACAACCGCAACAATCGTCATGAATCGGATGGATCGGACACTCCAGTTCTCGATGTCTCTGGTTGGGGTATGACACAAGAGATGTAGCCGCCATAGTGCCCAAACCAAGAAGCAAGAAGCAAGAGCGACAGTGCTACTGTGTCAGTCAGTGCATGCTGTTATTGTTGTCAGCTTGTGTTGTTGGCCGCGTTGTTGCCAAGCTGTTGGCCATCATGAGTGCCTGTTGAGAGCAGCAGCACCTGGAGTACTAAAAATGCTATAGTAAAATATTGGGCGCTTCTCAGAAGAGCCGATTCAATTTGAACTAAAGTGCTAGGCAATATACGACTATTTTGAAAAAATCCGTATTTTGCGATTATACGTGTAGGGGTGTCTGCTTGTAGCTAAGCACTGGAGGAATCTGCTTCTGGCTAGCTATGAGTAAGGGTATACACTGAAACCTTTCTGCCGAGGTTCCACAGCTCCGCTGGCTTAGAAACTGGTATTGATTGGAGTGTTCTATACACCATCACTCTTCTCCTGGACCTACATGTAGTGGCCAATAATGCAGTGATGGTGACTGTCCTGCTGTAGTTGTTGATAACATGCAACTATATTTATTTATTCACTTCCTGCATCTAGAACTAGCACAAGTAGGACACCAATGGTGGGGAGGGCAACACCTCTCCACCAATGCAACCACAGAGATGTACCAGTCTCGTTCCCCCAACCAGCACCCCATTTACTCAATCAGGAACATTCAACCTTCGTCTTCCTCCACACAACCACACTGAGAGCAGGTACAGTTCACAAGATCACAATCAACAAACATCAGAAGCAAGACCAACGAATCACAAACTGATGACGGCACCGTATCAGAGAATGAATTGTTCTGGAGATGCAGTTGTCTCAACCTGGAAAGTGGGGTCAACGTTGGGAACAGCTGGCCGGTCAACTGATTGAAACTAAGCCTGAGATCAAGCAAGGAAGTCATCTGGGACAGTCCCGATGGAAGGGATCCAGTGTAAGCATTGTTCTGCAACCACAGCCATTCCAAATCTGTCATAGAGGAAAGATCCGGAATCGTTCCAGTCTGATGGCTATCCCTCCCATTGAATGATACCATTGCTGTCAACCTGCTGAGGTCAGGGAGCGTGCCAGTAAGATCGTTCACACCAAAGTTGATTTGCGTCAAATTGGACAGAGCATTCAATTCACTTGGCAGTGTGGAATTGAAGTGGTTTGCCTGAAAATGAAGAGCTGTCAAGGCTGTTAGGAGCCCAAGCTCGGTGGGAAGTGGCCCTGTAAACTGAGAGAGCATAAAATGCAACTCTGTCAACTTCGTCAGTAGTCCGACTTCAGTGGGAAAGGTGCCACTGAATTCAGTGGTGTCCAATTCCAAATTGTCCAGCTCGCTCAGTTTGAAAACCTCTGATGGGAATGTGCCACTGGAGGGTACAAAAGAATGATGTAGGCTGAGGCAATCAAACTAGCTAGCGGCGAGCTTATTTGCAAAGCATGTGGCAACGTACCTGAACAAGTTCCCCCAGACTGACAATGAAGTGAGCTCTGAAAGAGCGTTAATCTCTGGTGTGAGAGTGCCAGTCAGCTGGTTTGTGCAAATGGACAAGTCAGTCAGAGAAGTCAGTGCTGCAACCTCGTTGCTGAGTGCTCCAGTGAAGGCATTGGTACCCAAATGAAGCTTCGCCAAGTCCGTAAGTCCAAAGAGCTCACCCGGCAGCAAACCGCGAAACAAATTGTTTTCCAAGTTCAATATTTCCAACAGAGTCAGTTCCCCAATCTGACTTGGGAGGGGGCCCTCAATGAAATTCTCGTTCAGATCCAAGGCAGTCAATCCTGTTAGCAAACCAATTTCGGGCGGAAGCGTTCCTCGAAGACCCGTCTTTTGTAAGGTCAAGTTCAAGTAAACACCATCATCGGTACAGTTGTTTTCAATGAGAGCCCAAAATTGGTCAGCGGCTTTGAGTTCTTCAATGGATCGTCCTTGCCAATCGCATTCATGAAGGCTAGTATTAAGCCAAGTAGTGGCAAAGGGAGGCACCTCCCAAGTTTCTCCACTTGTGGCGTAATAGAAGGAAGCAAGTGCCATGAGTTGCAACTTGCGCCAAGTAGGCATGCTGTCAAACTCTGGGTGTTCTTGAAGCCATTGCCAAGCCAAACTCTGTCCAGATTCTTGCAGCCCATCAAGGGCAATCATTTCTCTAGTGAAGTCGGGAAGAAATAGCATTTCAATGTCGGTGTCATTGATGGCTTCAGTACTGTTGGATGCCGTACTAGGGCTGCTGGTTTCAACGCTAGTGGGTTTGACGTTGCCACCATCGGGACTATTGGATTCACTGCTGTTGCCAGTGGTGGTCGGAATTTCCATCTGCCCGCCACTGGTCGAGCTAGCGTCAACCTCAGGGTCGCTGTTGCTGTCACTTGAGGACCTGGTCAGGACTATGGCCAAAACGATGGCGCCCACCACAACAATCAACAAGCCAGCTAGCCCCACCCATGTCCTCGATTGATCGTTCTTGGCTTGATCTTGTCCCTCATTGGGAGTACCGGTATCATTATTGTCACCCGTTGGCAAGGTCAGAGGCTCTGCCACTACCAATTCCGATTCTTCCACAAGGTTGGCCTCTACCAGTACCTGTTCCGTCGCACTACTTCCAGCAGATTCCTCGCCTCCCTCTTGATCGCTTGTCCTGACGCCATCTTGTGGAAAGGCACCCGGTAGAGTTTCAAGGCCCTGACGAATATTGGCTCCTCTTTGGAGCTCCGTCAATTCAGCACCCTCCGCATCGTTCGGTGGCAACGGTTCGCCGTCCGCCCAACCCTGAGGAGAATCCCCCTTCTGGCGTTGATCTTTCGAACCGTCCCCAAGAGCAGCGGAATCGCTCGAATCTTCGTGGCCCTGTTTTTCGCCCTCGGGTTTCTTCTTCGGGTCGCCCTCCTCTCGTTGGAATTCTCCCTTTCCAATCTTCAACAATTCATCCCCATGTGTCTGCTCGTTAACGCCAACGTCAACGTCGGGGATACATATTGCCACTACTTCGGCTGCATCAGAAACGCTTCGAAGGGCAGCGCTGCCGTCAACTCCTTCGTCGTCTGTTCCTTTTCTCTCCGACATGTTATTACGAGATAATATTAATACCCGTCGATCGAACCAACTGTATTCGAGTTGAAGTCCGGTCCTTCTGAGTGACTTTTAAAAACTTCTCACGATTTTTTGTGTTAGCCCAACCCCGCTACAGAACTGTAGCTAGCTAGAACCTTCTTCGCGCACATCAACACGGCTTCCGTATAGATAATTTCCCTACTCTAAACCCCCTATTACACAACAACGAAACTTTCAGGAATGGTGGGATGTTGAGCTGATGTTGGATGGTACCGGTGGACCGGTGGGGGTTCGTTTTCCTCACTGGCGCTGACGAATTCGAAGCTTGGATGGGCTGTTCTAATCTATTTATGGCTCCCGATCCACGGAACCCAGTCCTGAATTTCCAATTTCCAATCTTCTACTCGGAGCACGCTTTTAATTATGCCTGGCCCTCCCTGGCTTCCGCACCGGTAAAATAGAAAATATCCTAAATGCCACTACCATTCTGACCCCCCAGAGCGAATGCCACATTGCGACGCCGGCGCTCTGTCGCGGAGTGACCCTCTGAAATCAGAGAGTATCATTAATCTTGCCCCTACCTGGTACCGAAACACCAACCAACCCCTCCCCACAGCCCCCAGACAACGTTCCGAGGATGAGGTGATCGAGTGACAGTCGCGGGGCTCGGAAGTCCTGAGATGAATGAAATCTCATGCCGTAACTGATCTTTGGTTCTGGCTCCCGGTTGGTTAGTGCACTTATTACACCGAGTAGTACAAGAGAAAGCGAGAGCAAAGTAACCAATACTCAATACTCTAGTATGCCCCCATGAACAACCAGCAGCCAAGAAATATGCATGTGGTGGGGATGGAACGGTACTGTGACCGCGACTCCTTAGTTCAGCTATCGTAGCCGTAGCGTCTCCAAAACCTCATGGATTCTCCTTTGGCGTACAGCTAGCGGTGCATCAGCATCAGTTCTTCCTCATTACGACTACTAGAAGCTGGCAAGTACCGCCTCAGGAGCTGCTGAAGCAACGAAACAAACGTGAGTATACACCAGACAACTTCAGGCTTCAATATTTTAAAAGAAGCTCCTCTTTCTGCGGGGCATGTACGGTAATCTTCTCATTGAAACCAACCATAGTGCAGAAAATCCAGATCGAGTGACTAGGTCTGCTCCACATACATTGAATGAGAAACTGGAGGATCCATCGGGCTGCAAGTGAACCAATCTTGTGGAACCAGTCCAACACAGCAGATGCGACCACGGATCCGTACGGTACTACTTGTTTAGTTAGTGACCGTTCATACCTCGAGAAGCAACGTCTTGTTTATTTTAAAATTTTAAAAGTTTTATAGTTAGATGGAAAAGTCCAATGTGGGTTGAATCATACCCAAATCTTTCAAAATGATGTATGTTCGTTCTTCGATGCACTCAATCGCAGCATACTTGGCGGCAAGTTTCTGCTCTTGACGACGAGACAACGGTCGTCGGACCCTGACGACCGTTTCCTTCCGAGGTGGGAGTTGAGGCCTGAAGGCCAGCAACGCCTGCACTTTTTGTCCGGCCACTTCTTGAATATTTCTGGCTCTCTGGCGCAAATCAAACTTGTGTCGGTAGGATAGCAATCCGTTCGATGCTCTTTGCAGGAGTGTCTTGCTTTGACTCAGGAATCCCGCGACCAATCGGTTGGCCAGCGATGGAATGGATGCCTTGTCGTCGAGGACTTTAGCGATTGCAGTCTCTTTGATCACCTGTTCGGGAGTTTCCTTGATGATTGCTTCTGCTTGCTTAGGTGGTGCAACAACAACAGGAGAAGCACGAACAACCACTTCGTTTTGTTGGGCATATTGATATTGGGAAGCCAAATTTCGACGAAACCAAGGTGCCGCCGAAGTGACAGGAGTGCTTGCAACTGCCTTGGGGGTAGCTACCACCACTTTCTCAGCATCTGAAGTTTCCAAGACAGCTACCACTTCTTTCTTTTTGGGCGCAGAAGTTTCCATAGCTGTCATAACCGCTTCTTCCATGGCTTGTACCAATTGCACAGGTTCCTCGACTGCGGCCGTGGAAAATGATTTTGGTGAAGTTTCCATTGTCTTGAGGGTAGCTACCACCGCTTTCTCAGGCTCTGAAGCCTCCAAGACAGCTACCAATACTTCCTCAGGCTCTCCAGTTTCCGTGGCTGCCATGACTGCCTCTTCCAGGGCTTGTACCAATTCCACAGGTTCCTCCATTACAGCCGTGGAAAATGTTTTTTGTTGAGCATACTGCGACTCCAAGTTTTGTCGAAACCAAGGCGCCGCCATGTTCAGACTACTGGTGGCCCTTTGCAACTTTTTCAGGGGTGAAAACGCATCAGCCCGGCTCATCATCAGCACAACAACAAGGCAGATCAGACTTGTACACTTCATCATGATGGTACCTTAGAAGAGATAGCGAATCCACACACACACAATAGTCAAAGCCTTGGCCTCTGCAATAACCAACCTCGGAAGCAATAACTTGAATTGTGAGAAAGGAGAAAGGATTTGGTCGAGAATTCTTTCTCCGTCCGGTGCAAACGTCAGAGTGACAGTCCTCGGCGTTGCAATAAGCACACGTCCATGACATGCGTGTAAATATCCACGTTTTACCCAGGAGCCAGGAAAGCTGGGATCAGAGCATAACCATCCCGGTGTAAATCCGCACTCAAATCTCTAAAAAGTGAGAGCGAGGGAGGTTCCAAAAGTGAGCATGCCGGTGTAAATCCACCACTCAGATTCTTTTTGTGTGGAACGGTGAGAACTTGGGCGAGGCTCCTGCCTTGACCGATGCGTGCCAAAAATAAGAACGATTCGGCGTCATACGAATTCAATGAAACTTTCTAGCACGATTACATACCAGTAGTCTACGTTCACCTCTCAATGCTTGAGCATTTCAGCATTCATGTGACATGCTGAGGAGCTTAGATCAACGCGCCTTCCAGCCTCATGGTTCGGATGCAAAGATGGCAAGGCGAGCAAACCAGTCAAGGGATTGCCCGGACCTCACATTTTATGCCAATTTCAAATTCAAGAATCGAATCCCCGCGCGGCCATTTTTCTTGGAAGTGAAGAACAAATAACTTCACTTCTACCAACGCTACCGTAGCAACCGCAGCAAGCTACCCTTAGTAGGTTAATACTTGGTATATGGTTAATACTTGATACCATACAATAGCACCATGGATAAGAGGGCTGTGGTAATCGGTGGTGGCCCCTCTGGGCTGGCCATGACGAAAGAGTTAAATCAGGTTGGCTTTGAGGTAGCTTGTTTCGACAATGGGAAGGCGATTGGAGGAGTGTGGGATTGGGCGTGGGATAGCTTGGTCATGACATCTTCCTCCACCATGTCGGCATTTTCCGATTATCCGTCCAAGGACGAGAAGATGTGGTCCAAGAAAGAGTGTAACGACTACCTCAACTCCTACGTCGATCACTTTGGCATTCGCTCCTTGATTCATGTCAATCAGGCGGTCATCAAGGCGACCCGTGTGAGGAATCAGCAGGACGATTACTGGTATTGGCAAGTCACTACCCGCCACAACGAAACTGGACAAGAGACACTCCATGAGGCAGGCTCGCTCTTTGTCTGCACTGGCAACAATCACGTGCCTCGAATGGTCAACTTTGAAGGCATTGAAACCTACCAAGGAGACATGATGCATACCAAGGAATACACTGGAGATCACTCTATCTTTGCCAACAAGGATATTCTTACCGTTGGTATGGGGGAATCCGGAGCTGATCTCTCCTTGGCGGCGGCCAAGGTGGCCAAATCCTGCCAAATGTCCATTCGAAACTCGAGTGGATGGGTAGGCCCCCGCTTGCGCAAGGGTATCCCCGCAGACTACATGACGTCGCGCATTTTGTGGGGGATCCCCCGTGTTGCAGCACCCATTCAGTCTCTGCTCATGTCTACTGGCGATAAAACATTTGGAGAAACCAAAATCCTCAAGACCATGGGAGAATACAATCGTGGTGTCGTCACCAAATGCAATCCTCTAGGTGCGTGGGGAACTCATGGAACTAAAAGCACGGGCTTTATTGAAGCTATTGTCAATCATGGGGCCACCATTGTTCCAGGAATTTCTCGCGTCGGACCCAAGAAACGGGTCGAGTTCACCGATGGGTCCATCTCCAACCATGTCGACATGATTGTCTTGAACACGGGGTTTCTGCAAGACTTTGAGTTTCTGCAGCCAGATCCAGAGGATCATGAATTCATTGCTTCTGTGGAAGCCATGCGTCAGTTGCATCTATGGAAACGGACCTTGCCACTCAACTTTGATCAGACTCGTCTAGGATTCATTGGTGTCTTTTTTCGTCCTACCTTTGGTTCCCAGCTACCCAGCGCCGAAATGCAAGCCCGAGTTGCATCTGCCGCGCTCCTAGAGGTCTCTGGGCGACAGGACTTGGCACACATTCCGGTACTCCCGCGATCCAGAGAAGCCATGCGCTTGCAGATCGTCTTGGGAGTCCAACAATCATGCAGTCAGTACGCGGATGACGCAAGCAACAAAAAGATTGGAGATTTCTACCTCTACATGAACGATATGGCCATTACACTCGGAGTGCACCCGGGAACCTTTTGGGAGATTCTATTTCGTGATCCTGCCTTGGCCCTGTGCCTCTTTTGGGGCTGCTTTTCGGCGCCTCAGTTTCGTTTGAAGGGACGCATGGCGACACCGGAAGTGGCACGAGATGCCATTGTGCGCAAGATCCACCCCGCGTGGTTCCTATCCGCCCGCCTTTATCGCATTGCGATTGTGACCCGTCTGGTTTCCGCTCTGTTGTTTACTGTCGTTGCCATCTTGGACTTTGTGACGTTTGGGGCCATTGAATCCATTCGAGTCATGAAACGGACATTGCAAACCCCAGGAACCACGGTGGCACTCAACGATCTTTCCGTCTCGGAACTCGAAAAGGAGATTCGTGTCAACGAACGTATCTGGTCCACTGCTTCCTTTGTGGCTCGTGCCTGCCAGCCGAGGAATGGGAACGCTGCACACAACGATTGCAACGCTAGTAGCTGCAACCACCCCGACACTAAAATACTTGATGCATCCGGTCTGAAGCCTATGAAGATCTCGGTTTGAATCGAAGCCAATCAACGAAACTGTGGGTGGACCGCCCAAGCCGCTCCAGTTACATGTAGTGTTCCCCCGCTGTTTGTAGCTCTGCTGTGTCCTCCTCAACCAAGAGTGACAGAGTCGCGGTGGAATTAATTTCTCTTTCACTTAATAAATCTTCGTATACCCCTCGTGCATAACTACTAGGCATGTACCATTCGCTACGGGGTACTCAGATCCTGCACATCTACGAGATCTCGGTGGACTGGCTCTTTAGTGAAGTGCTCCGCTATCGAAGAGAGCTCACAGTTCTTGCCCATCCAAGAGATCGTCATGTTCTCTGCTCTAAAAGAAGTGCTTTTGCCAAACCGAGGCTTTCATCCTCATAAGAACAGCAATTCAATCAAAGGTATAAGAAAGAAAGAAAGCAATCAATTTGATCGACAGAGTTTCGGTACTCTAGTATCTAATAGCCAGACGAAACCATGGATTTTTCAGGAGAATTTCATGGATGCAACTCAAGAACTTCCACTCTTGAACACAAGCCCACGCCTGGTTTCGATGCGAGCACTTCGAGTTCAACTAGCAGCAGTTCTGTCTTCAAAAGCAACGAGAAATCTAGTAGGAATTGGTCTGATCGGGGCTGTCTCGTAGACAGGGCTCGAGATATCTCCATACGGGTGTGCCAGTTGTCCGTCTTCTGTGACTATGCTACAAGCACCATTCTGAGACCGAACTTTCCCTTTCTGGCCCTTCCAGGGGCTCACGAAGAGTCCTTTCCCAGCACGGAACCATTTGGCTTTAGCGCTGCCACATACTTTTTGCCATTCACGTTTCTCCTTGGAGCTGCGATTTGCTCCCCTGTCATGGGACCACTTTCGGACCCAGTGGGGCGGAAACCTTGCATTGTTTTTAGCCTAGTCGTGACAGCCTTGGGAGCCGTCGTCAAGTACTTGGTTCGACAGTCTTTCTGGGGATTCTGTGTTGCGAACTTTGCACATGGTCTCATTGGAGGTGGTACAGCTCCTGTTTCCTTGGCCTATGCTTCGGACGTATCAATCAGCCGGCATCAGAAGGATGCAGAAATTGCATTCATGACGGCTCTTTCCATGATTGGCATGGCCAGCGGCGGGGTCATTGCGATTTTGATGGGAGACGATCAAAGCCTCTTTGCTCCGTTGCTCGTTGGAGCTGGTTCCTGTGCTTTCTCCGCCATGTTGGTTGTCTTCTTGGTCTATGAACCCAGCACTCACATGGAGCTACTAACGTCTCAGACTGACTCTCGGCATCAAAAACCAATCCTTGTTGGTAGCGATGAGGAACCAGTTACATGTACTAAGCAACTCCGTGAGACAACTGAAGCGTTCGACGACGAAGCAAGTGAGATTGATGTCGAGTCACCCGTGAAAGTCGAACCAAATGTGACCAAAACAGGTGCCAAAGACCACGGCAAGGTGGGCATTCCGCCCCCAGCAGGGCGGCTTAACCAGAAGGTGGTCTTCACGATCATTGTGGGTGCCCTTGTCGATAATCTCGGCTCTGCTGGATTGACCTACATTTCTATTTCGCCCATGGCTTTTAATGCCTTCTATCATGACTTTGTTTCTCAAGGACAAGAACCCATCATGTCAGCCGACGCCTTCAAGCTTATCCAGACCTTGCTTGCCTTAGCCGTTGTCCCTGGAGCAGTTGCAGCGCCCAAGATTGTCCAAATGATTGGTTCTGCTGGTGCTTGTGTCTTGGCCAATATCATGACAGCGGTGGTGATTGCAGCATTGCTAGGAGTTACCGAAGGGATAGATCCGTCACCTACTTCCTATGCTGCTTTTGTTACGATTCTCTATTCTGGGTTTTCACTGGCAGTGATTAGTCAAGTATCGACCGGGACAATGCTGGATGCCATCGCCCCTGATGACAAGCGGGGATATGTGCAAGGTCTCAACCTGATGAGTCTCAACTTGGCATCTGCAGTTTGTCCCTACTTGCTTGGCGAGCTGGCAGATCGTACTGGGACCGCAGCTTGCATGTGGACAAATGTGGGCATCAGTGTTCTTGCTGCTGTTGTGAATTCACCGCTTCTACATGTCAGACAGCTTCAAAGGCAAAACACCGAATGATGGAATCATTCCGAGGGAGCGAAGGAGATGGTTCGCTGACCACTCTAGCTAGCTGGCACCTGCTAGCCAGGAGCCACAACTTCTGTCCCACTCCAGGGCAACCGAATGTGTGGCGAACTTTGCAAACAATCGGTTGGTTTCTCTGCAGGTCCAGTGAATAACTTCTCGATGGATTTGATCCTTACTTTTAGAAAAACAATACTTTATCCCGCTCCCCCCCCCTCAATCGCCCTCCCGCCCTGGAGCTCATGCACGGTGATCTTTCAATTCGCTGCTTGTTCGAACGTCGTACTACGAGGGGGTTTAGCTACTGCTAATTTGATGTACATGTCACTGATTTGGACTGCCCTTCCTACAGGAACCAAGATCCACTCAAAGTTTTAGTGAGAAAATTACCAAGTATAAAGCCCCGGCCCGTGCGACTCCAATCGCGCCTCCTTCCATCCCTTTGTTGTATCTTTGAATGACATGATTGCCCCCCAAGCCAAGATTCTTTTATAATCAACGCCTTGCTTCTGTTGCTGCTGACAAAACTCAGTTCTCCTACTCTCTAAATGATGTTCTTCCTACAGACCCGAATCTCTATTGCCCTTGTGAAAGCTACCCATTTATGTCTCCATGGATCCCGCAAAGCCAAACCCTTTGACCCCTGTATTGGTCCTCAATTTCTCGCCCTGATCCCACGAACCAGTACCAAATTTTACTCTTCTTTGCTAAGCCGGCCTAGTGGCTTCGTAGATAATCTACCTACTCTAAACCCCCTTTTGCTATTATATCTATGATTCCGAAGGGGGGCCTACTAGTAGTAGGCAAAGAAGAGGGAAAATTTTGGACTACATTTAGGTGTCTGGGATTAGGGGGGGGGGGCGTTAAAGGGGACCAATCACGCTTGCATTGGCCATCGACTCACATTGGGGTTGCCATCTTGCTGGATCCCAGACTCCAGCCGCTGCTTTGCTTGCGATTGCCGCCTCGGGAGCTCCTCGAAAAGCCTTTTTCGTCTTCCGGATACCGTGGTCCTCGAGCCCGACTTTCCAAGCAATCAATTGCACCGTTTTTCGTCGTCACAGTTCCGGTGCAACATGGGCAGGCCAGCTATATCCCACCGTGGAGTCATCAAGAGCTATTTGTGTGCAGTTGGAAGACATACGTGTTAAATTAATAGCCGAGAGATGCCTCGCCCTGTAAGAGAGTCTTGGCTTGGGGGGCAAGCATGCCATTCACAGAAAGCATTGACTGCTCTAGCATCCGCTGCATTGTCACCTTTAGATTATTAATACGCTTTTAGCAATTATGGAATACTGACAGTGAATGTCACTGTCAGGGGTGTGCCCACAACTGTACCAATGTATGGGGTGACAGTTATATCAAAGGTCTGCCCATTAGTCCAGGTGGAAGTGTCACGGGCAATGGCACCAATCTGGGCACTTCTCAACATTTTATATGGGACAGATGTCCTCTCCCGGCTGCTGTTCCCCAAATTGAAAATCACCTTGTCAACATTGGGATTGTCAACCTCACAATAGATGTTGATATATTGCGGGAAATTTGCGTCAACGACAAAATCCATGTTACTGGAAATTGAACTATAACCAGGAACCACAGCATTTGAGGGAGTGGTTGCTCCATACTCAAAAACAAAAAGGCTTGTTACAGCAAAGGGGCCCATTGTGGGGCTTGAAGTTGGATTGGAAGTCGTTGATCCAGTTGGACCAGCTGTTGGTGATTTGGTGGGACCAGCAGTGGGTGGTGCCGTGGGTGATTTGGTGGGACCAGCAGGGCCGCTTGTTGGCGGCGCCGTGGGTGATTAGTTGGACCAGCAGTTGGTGATTTGTGGGACCAGCAGTGGGCGATTTAGTTGGACTAGCTGTTGGTGATTGTGGGACAGCAGTGGGTCCGCTTGTTGGGGGCCGTGGGTGATTAGTTGGACCAGCTGTTGGTGATTGGTGGGACCAGCAGGGCGGTTGGTGATTTGTGGGACCAGCAGTGGGTGGTGCCGTGGGTGATTTGGTGGGACCAGCAGTGGGTCCGCTTGTTGGCGGCGCCGTGGGTGATTTAGTTGGACCAGCTGTTGGTGATTTGGTGGGACCAGCGTGGGTGATTTAGTTGGACTAGCTGTTGGTGATTGTGGGACGCAGTGGGTCCGCTTGTTGGTGCACGTGGGTGATTTAGTTGGACCAGCTGTTGGTGATTTGGTGGGACCAGCAGTGGGTGGTGCGTGGGGTTTGGTGGGACCAGCAGTGGGTCGCTGTGGTGGGCCGTGGGGATTTGTTGGGCAGCTGTTGGTGGTGCAGTGGGTGTTTAGTTGGAGCAGCTGTTGGTGATTTGGTGGGACCAGCAGTGGGTCCACTTGTTGGTGGCACTGTGAGTGATTTAGTTGGACCAGCTGTTGGTGATTTGGTGGGACCAGCAGTGGGTCCGCTTGTTGGCGGCGCCTGGGTGATTTAGTTGGACCAGCTGTTGGTGATTTGTGGGACAGCAGTGGGTGATTTAGTTGGACTAGCTGTTGGTGATTGTGGGACCAGCAGTGGGTGGGTGCGCGTGGGTGATTTGTGGGACCAGCAGTGGTCCGCTTGTTGGCGGCGCCGTGGGTGATTTAGTTGGACCAGCTGTTGGTGATTTGGTGGGACCAGCAGTGGGTGATTTAGTTGGACTAGCTGTTGGTGATTTGTGGGACCAGAGTGGGTCGTTGTTGGTGGTGCCGTGAGTGATTTAGTTGAACCAGAAGTGGGTCGCTTGTTGGTGGCACGTGGGTGATTTAGTTGGACCAGCAGTTGGTGATTTGTGGGACCAGCAGTGGGTGTGCCGTGGGTGATGGGACCAGCAGTGGGTCCGCTTGTTGGGGCGCCGTGGGTGATTTAGTTGGACCAGCTGTTGGTGATTTGGTGGGACCAGCAGTGGGTGATTTAGTTGGACTAGCTGTTGGTGATTTGGTGGGACCAGCAGTGGGTCTGCTTGTTGGTGGCAACGTGGGTGATTCAGTTGGACTAGCAGTTGGTGATTTGGTGGGACCAGCAGTGGGTGGTGCCGTGGGTGATTTGTGGGACAGCAGTGGGTCGCTTGTTGGTGGGCGTGGGTGTTTAGTTGGAGCAGCTGTTGGTGGTGCAGTGGGTTTTAGTTGGAGCAGCTGTTGGTGATTGGTGGACCAGCAGTGGGTCCACTTGTTGGTGGCACTGTGGTGATTTAGTTGGACCAGCTGTTGGTGATTTGGTGGGACCAGCAGTGGTCCGCTTGTTGGCGCGCATGGTGATTTAGTTGGACCAGCGTTGTGATTTGTGGGACCAGCAGTGGGTGATTTAGTTGGACTAGCTGTTGGTGATTTGGTGGGACCAGCAGTGGGTGGTGCCGTGGGATTTGTTGGACCAGCAGTGGTCGCGTTGGGCCGGGATTGTTGGCCAGCTGTTGGTGATTTGGTGGGACAGCAGTGACTTGTGTGGCCGTGGTGATTGTGGGACAGCAGTGGGTCGTTGTTGGTGGGCCGTGAGTGATTTAGTTGAACCAGAAGTGGGTCCGCTTGTTGGTGGCAACGTGGGTGATTAGTTGGACCAGCAGTTGGTGATTTGGTGGGACCAGCAGTGGTGGTGCCGTGGGTGATTTGGTGGGACCAGCAGTGGGTCCGCTTGTTGGCGGCGCCGTGGGTGATTTAGTTGGACCAGCTGTTGGTGATTTGGTGGACCAGCAGTGGGTGATTTAGTTGGACTAGCTGTTGGTGATTTGGTGGGACCAGCAGTGGGTCTGCTTGTTGGTGGCAACGTGGGTGATTTAGTTGGACCAGCTGTTGGTGATTTGGTGGCCAGCAGTGGGTCCGTTGTTGGTGGCGCCGTGGGTGATTTAGTTGGACAGCTGCTTGTGATTTGTGGGACCAGCAGTGGGTCCGCTTGTTGGTGGCAACGTGGGTGATTTAGTTGGAACAGCTGTTGGTGATTTGGTGTTTCCCGTTGGATTTCCTGGGGGGCTACCAGTTGGACTTTCTGTTGGGGTCCCAGTGGTTCCAGTTGGAGTGCTACCAGGGACTTTTGTTGGAGTTCTTGTAGGGGTTCCAGTTGGAGTTCTGGTAGGAGTTACAGTTGTTCCAGTTGGAGTGCCTGTAGGGCTTTCTGTTGGAGTTCTGGTCGGGGAACCCATGGGAGTGTCTATTGGGGTCCCAGTCGGCCCAGTTGGAGTGTCAGTTAGGGCAGCTGTTGGTCTCTGGTAGGGGAACCCATGGGAGTGTCTGTTGGGATCCCAGTGGTCCCAGTTGGTGTGCCAGTTGGGGCAGCGGTTGGCATTCTGTAGGGGTTCCAGTTGGGGTTCCGGTTGGGGTTCCAGTGGTTCCAGTTGGAGTGCCAGTAGGACTTGCTGTTGGAGTTCCGGTAAGGGAACCCGTGGGAGTGCCTGTTGGGGTCCGCAGTGGTCCCAGTTGGAGTGCCAGTTGGGGTAGCTGTCGGTGTGCCTGTAGGTGAGCCAATGGGAGTTCCTGTTGGGGAGCCTATTGGAGTGCCAGTGGTGGTTCCAGTTGGAGAGTCAATTGGGGTTCCAGTTGGAGTGCCAGTGGGGGTTCCTGTTGGCTTTCCAGTAGGGTGGCCTGTTGGGGCACCAGTGGGAGTTCCGGTGGTGCCAGCTGGAGCGCCAGTAGGGTTTCCAGGTGGTGTACCAGTGGGAGTGCCTGTTGGAGTCCTTGGATTGCTCCCGGTAGGGACACCTGTGGGATCGCCTTTTGGAGTTGTAGTGGTTCCAGTCGGAATTTGAGTTGGGGTTTTGGTTGGTGTTTCAGTGGGTGTTCCAGTCATCGAAAATGTTGGAGTTCCAGTGGTCCCAGTTGGAGTGCCACTAAAAGTTTCAGTTGGTGTGCTGGTCAGGGAACCAATCGGAGTGTCTGTTGGAGTTCCAGGGGTTAATGTTGGAGTGCCTGTAGGGTTTCCAGTTGGGGTTCCGGCGGGGGCACCTGTTGGAATGCTTCTTGGCGTTCCAGTTGTTGGTGTCCCAGCAGGATCTCCAGTCGGCATATTGGTTGGTGATGCTGTGGGACTTCCAGTGGTTCCAGTTGGAGTGCCTGTGGGGTTTCCAGTTGGCATTCTTGTTGGTACGCCAGTTGGAGTTCCTGTGGGCGTTCCTGTGATTTCAGGAGTTTCCATGGGGCTTCTTGTGGGACTGCCAATGGGTGTGGACGTTGGTATGGAAATGACCAGGCTCTCTGTGGTTGGTGTTACACTAGGCGTTCCTGTGGATGCAGTCGGAATGGAAGTGACAGGTGCATCACTCGATGGTGACACAGTTGATGGATTGCCGGTAGTTGGAGGTGAGCTAGTGGGGCTCGAAGTTGTAGGTGAGGTGGTGGTTGGGGTTCTGGTGGTTGGAGCAACACTGGGCTCCCCAGGAGTCACAGAAGGCGTGCCAGTGGATGGAGAGTCAATTGTCGGAGTTCCTGATGTCAGGCTAGCCGAGGGAGCCTTTGTGGTGGGTGAACTACTTGGGATGGATGTTGTAGGAAGCCTTGTGGTAGGACCAACACTGGGTTCTCCAGGAGCCACAGTGGGTGTGCCAGTGGATGGAGAGTCACTTGCTGGACTTCCTGATGTGGGGTTAGCCGAGGCAGGTGCTTGTGAGGCTGGAGCCTTTGTGGTGGGAGACAGAGAGAATGGAGGACTACTTGGGAGGGATGTTGTAGGACGCCTTGTGGTTGGAGCAACAGTGGGTTCTCCAGGTGTTGCAGTGGGTGTCCCTGTGGTTGGAGAGTCAGGAGCCTGAGAGGTGGGAGTGACTGTGGTGGGTGAAGCAGAAACTGGGACACTACTTGGGATAGCTGTGGTAGGACTCATTGTAGTCGGAGCAACACTGGGGTCTCCCGTCATAACCGTGGGCGTTCCAGTGGATGGAGAGTTGCTTGTGGGACGTCCTGTTGTGCGGCTAGCCGAGGAAAGCCCTTTTGATGTTGGTGCCTCTGTGATGGGCGAAACAGAGTTTGGAGAACTACCTGGGATGGTGGTTGTCATAGGACTCCTTGAGGTTGGAGCAGTGCTAGGCTCTCCTGGAGTAACCGTGGGTGTCCCATTGGATGGAGAGCCATTAGTAGGAAGCACTAGTGTGGGTCTAGCTGAGAGAGGGGCTTGTAATGTTGGAGCATGTGTGGTTGGCGAAGACGAGCCTGGGACATTGCTTGGGATAGCTGTAGTGGGACGAATCGTGGTTGGGGGAATAGTGGGTTCTCCAGGAGTCACAGTGGGCGCGACAGTGGATTGAGAGTCATTTTTAGGGGCTCCAGCTGTGGGGCTTGCAGAGACAGAGTCCTTTGAGGCTGGAGCCTCTGTGGTTGGTGATGCAGGGGCTTTAGCACTACTTGGAATGGTTGTTGTAGTGCTCTTTGTGCTTGGAGAAACGCTTGGTTCTAGTAGACTATTCACTGTCGGTGTCCCAGTAGTTGGAGACTCACTTGTGGGTTGTCTGCTTGTGGGGTTGTTGGGAGTGGTTGATGCCAAGTTCGCATCAGTTTCTATGAATGTAGTGGGGTTGGCAGCGGTTGGGGTTCCTGCTTGTCTAGTGCTTGGCATTGAAGTGATAGAAGCTGCTGGGGTTGGTGCAGCAATGGGGTCCCCGCCCTCAACCTTGGGGTGTGTGGTGGTTGGACTTACAGTAGATGATTCCAGTATGGTTGGTCTCTGTGTGACGGGACCAGCAGCTGGTGTCCCCTGTGCTACCGATGCACCCAACAGTTCTGTAAGCGTAACAGGGGCTGGACTTGGTTTCTGTGTTATCTGACTGACTGTTGGACTACTCATTGGGATGCCACCGCTTGCACTGGGAAGTGATGCGGGGGACACAGAGGACATTCCAGTTGATGGCTCATCTGGGCTAGTAGGTGAGTGTGATGGCACATTGGTAAAGGAATCCGTAGGTTCTGAGGTTGCTTCACCTGGTTTTCCTGGGGCATCGAATGGATTTGTTAAAGTTTCTGCCACAATCTTATAGGGATTGTTTGGATCAAGGACTGACCCATAGTACAGACGGACACCATGTCCATCTTCCCCATCGTCAATTGACAGTTCTTCTGGGAAATGTTGTACCCACTCAAAGATGAGTGCTTCAACCCAGTCAGAGTAAAGAAGGCTTGTCATCAAGACGAATCCATCACTTTGTAGATTACGACTACTGCCAGAATTGGCAGTGGCAGGCCCTTCAGTTGCGGCTGTGTCATCACCCAAGGCAGATCCAAACATGGGATTATCATCAGGGCAACCCACACAAGTCAAAGTGACATGCCATTTTGTGTAGGTGTATAGCTTGTTGGGACCAGCTTGGACGGTGTTGACATCTGTCAGTTCTGCACTTTGGACCACTCTTAGGAATTCCCCATTGCACATTCCTGAGAGAGCGTTGTAGCTGAGCACAAGGAATTCTTCAAGACTTTTTGTGTGAGCTTCTGGGAATCCTTGAGGAAGACCCTCAATCACGAGACTGACAATGGCTTCTTTCAGCTCGGTTGCCTCTTCATAGTCTGCACACACCGCCGCGGCTGCCAAATTGTATGATGTGTCATCAGTGTAGTTGGTGGAATTTGACGTGAAGATGTTTGTAAAATTACCGGTGAAGTGCCCTGTAAATGTGGATGGGTATGACCAGTCTGAGATGTTGGACATATTCTGGGATGTGGTATTCAAATCAGTGAGGGAAGCTATGGTTTCGACTGTAGGAGAACTCAGCACCATTCCAGCAGAGATGGCTGTGGCAGCAACAGCTGCTGCCAATCCTACAGCAGCTGCAATTTGGGTGCCAAGAGAAGCGGAGCCAATTGAGGCCAGTATTCCAGTAGATGCAGTAGCCGCTCCAGCAGCAGCAGTTGATCCTGCAGCTGCAGCTGCTGTGGCAGACTGTGCCGCCACAGTGGCCATCTGAATTGCCATTTGACCACCAATCGGGCCAACAATTTGGCTCATACTGAGTAGGTTGAGAGTGCAAAGAAGACGGAACATAGGAAGGTTGAGGCGGACAGTTCAATAGCAGCAGAAGAAGTAGGGCACAGCAGACCACGATCAAGCGGAGCAGACAAACAACTTACATGACTGGATTGACTGCACTTGCTGCGGGCTGCTGCTGGACACTGGCTTGGTCTCCTGTCTGGACATTGTTGTTTCCTGGCAAGTTGTCATTGGCTGATGTTGCATCGTCAGAACTAGAATTCATTCTTTTGCATAACTTGACGACAAAGGTGATGAATTTGCCAATAAGCATCATTCCGGTTGCACTCAAGATACCATACATCATTGAGTGCTTTATTTCTTCCTCTTTCTGCTGGTCAAGGTCAACGGTAGACATGTCATCCTGTTCGCTATCACTCATGACCGACTGGTTATCTTGGTCCTCCGCTTCATCAGAGTCTTCATCCGTTCCTTTTTTGCCGATTTCCATTTCTTTCTCGTCCATGAGAGGGACGTCTGCCATCACTCCTGGGTCACGCTCTTCCTCATTATCTATGTTGAAACTGTCGTCGTTCATGTCCAAGGATTGTCGACTAAACTGAGAGCGCCGCGAGTGGAGACTCACTTGGAGGAGGCCAGATGTCTCACTGCAGACCCAGGCATGAAACCATAACAAATGGAAAAAGAAACAATGTGAGATCGGCATCGATTAAACAGGCAGCTGCGGTTACACTGGGTCCTATCTGAAGGGAACATATTTGGTGGCCAATGTTTGACACTTACGTTGCCTCGGAGTCATCTTCGTCGGCCGATAGCAGGCCGCACTGGCTTTCTACGTCGTTGTCGCCATCGGATCCTCCTTCCTTGGACACTCCTTCCTGCAAAACACGGCTTGATTCGTTTGTCGGCCGATCCGCTTCGTCATCCGAATCCTCTTCGTCTTCGTCTTCGTCTTTGGATAACATGCAGCCCTGGCTTTCAATGTCAGTGTGATCCTCCGACTCGGATTGTTGTTGTGGCGCTTCTTGAGCTCTCATCAAAAAGCCAATACTTATGGAGCCATCGGACTGTTCATGGGGATTCACGGCTTCGTCTTGATGATCGGTGTGGTTGATAGTAGCTACCGGTGTGGTTGCAACGGCATCGTCTTGGGGATTATCCGTGTTTTGCATGGTATGGGCGAGCTTTGAGATTCTCGTTTTGATCCTCGGGCTCCTGTGGGGATGTGTGGCTGCTCTGATCTTATTCTTTCAGCGATACAAAGATAGCAATCGATTGCCAGTGTCTCTTGTGTTTGTGTTCAAATAGCTTGCTGTGGGTGGAGGCTGAGTTGCGCAGCCTTGCGAGAGGAGCCAAAACCAGCTGGTGGTTGGCAATCACGAGGTGAACCTCCCGGGACTCGCTAGAACGAGGTAGACGTAGAATCCCCTTTTAATTTTTAGCTTATTCTTTTGTGTCATCCCATGTCTACATCGTACTGCACATCGGCCTCCGTTCGCAGGTTATGAGCCCAAACTCGTTCGTCACACTTGCACCCAAGCCGAGACTAGGTGGAGGTTGTTTACCTCACGTAATTGGCTAGCGGAGTGAGTTTGATGCGATGTTGCGTTCAAAAAACCGATGGTTGACCTCTCTCGTCATGGTCGGACGATGAGAGCTGGATCTTGCCGTTTTTTTTGGCAAATTCAGACAAGAGAATCAGGTCACATCAAGATGATGGTGTTGACCGCAAGACCGCAAGCTCAAGCTTGAGCTGAGCTCCACGTCGAAATCCAAATGGCTGACAAGCCATTCTTTGG